GGGGGGCCAGCCGAGAGAGCGAAGGGTGAAGGGGGGAGCGGGGTCGAGGAGGGCAGAGGAGAGATTGATACGAACGCTGCTCCCACTTCGACCGCGTTCTCGTTCTCTCCTCGTCCGTTCGAGATCGCTTCCCGGAGCAGTCGAGCAGCAGCGGGAGGAGAGAGGTCCGACGCGACCACCTGGAAGGGGTTGAAGAGCCATCGAGGCCGAAGGGTGGTCCTAGCTCGAGCTTCTACCGCGAATCCACCGGCCGCCGTCGACTTCTACTCGCTACTCGGACGCCTTTCGCGTGCCCGCGTCGCCACGGACGATTCTACTTTGCCACCAAACCACGACCGTCTTCTCTCCTTTCTTCCACCTTCATCGTCGATTCCACGAAATCGATCTATCGATCGGTCGATCGATGGACGGTTGGATGGGTCGGCCCGGCCGGACAGAGATTTTCCGCGGCGATGCTTCCGAAAGGAAACGCGACTTTCCACCGAAAATTTCACCAGCGCCATTACCACCGGCGGATCACTGAATCGGATCTAACGACCATCTGGTCCGTAGGTGTTTCGACGCCTCTCTTTCTCCCTCCTCGCAACGCTCTCGTCACGCGTCTGCCAACTCTGTCCGTTCGAATTTACCAAACCGGCGCCGCGGCTGTTCTTCCGCGAGCCATTCGAGCATTTCGAACTCGCCGCTGGAAATCCGTTCACGCTCGGAAACAATACGCGCAAGCGTATCCGTCGGGGGATAATTACACCGTGGCATTAGCGTGGCGCGAAATCGAATCAGCCACGCGGCAATGAGCTGGAAACGAAAGAATCGTAGAAATTAGGGGTAGCGACGTGGTTGGATCGGGGGTGCCTGTCAGCCGTAGGTGCACCGTATCTACTTACGCGAGCCATAATGGCATATGGCGCTCGCGCGTACCGGACGATCCTTGGCGCGTTATCGCGACGCCGCGAAACCGGTCGTCGCGTTCGCGACGGAAATGTACGACCGTTTGCGCGATGCCGTAACCCCCCATGCGAGTTACGACGACGCTGCGGGAATTTGAAAAATCCCGCGGAACGAGGAGACTCGGTTGCCTTATCGCGAGGGAGCAAATTGCGAGACCGAATTGCGCCTGGAAAGTGCTCCCATCGTTAACTGCTCGGCTATTCGCGCTAACTATGCTGCGTGACGTGTACCATTAAGCGACGATTATTGCACGCCGCAGGAAAAACAGGGGGTGAGGGAAAAAAGGAGAACGAAACGGTATATCAACGTCTTTTTTTCTCTCCGTTTCCCTCGCTCCGCCCCTGCCCCGCTGTACGAATAAGGCAAAGTACGAAATGGTCTTGCTTCGATGAAAAAACAGGTTAACGGAGCCTGTAATGAGACTATCAAAGCGTGACACGATTTAAACCACGGCTGGCCGCAAGGAGGCAACGCGTCGCTTAGTTTTCCTTCCTCCCTTCGTTTGCACCTACGCCCGTGCTCCGCTGCCCTTTTGCGGATGTGCACACAGAGCCGCGAGTGTGTTGCTGCCGCGCGACCGCGCCGGTGCACCTGGAAACGCTAACGCGTCCGTTCGTGGGCGGCTCATTAAAGGAACATGAGAATTAGTCACGAGCGTCGCGACCAGAAGGCGACGAAACGAAAGCTTCGCGTCGTTAAACAACAGCGCCGCCAACAACTACTTTTCCTAGCCGCGTTTCACCCCCTGCCAGCTCCCCTCCGTAGACTCCGTGGACGCACACCTGTGCACCGGAGGTAGATCTGGGTTTTTCCGCGCTGGGTTCGATTCGGTCTCGTTCGATCTCGCTTTAGGAATCCAGGCTAGAGAGCGAAGAGGGTGCAGCTGGGTGTGAAGAAACGCGCCTGGGCTGTTGAATTTTTTAAAGCTCGACGTCGCTCCGAGCGAATTAACATGGATACGCGTATCGCGTTAACAGGCTAGACAAGTGTACCCACGTGTCGGTTATTAAATATACATGAGAGTCTCGCCGTCCGGTCTGGAAGACCAAGTGAAAAGTTAAAAGCGTTAAAACTGTTTTCATCAACTTGCAATTAACCCTCATGAATTCCGTAGTCTTACACCGTGGCTCCCGTTAGAACCGGCTTCGGATATTCTTCCAAAGACCCTTTAAAAATCTTAGACGAGAAACGCGACCGGGTCTCCAGCGCTCCTTCCCTCTCTTGCTCTCTCTCTCTTTCTCTCTCTCTCTCTCGGTCTCGGGGAAGATGTCTCGGAAAATTTTATTCCCCGTTCTCGTTATCCTCTCTGCTCTTTCCAGCGTTGCTTTTTCTCAAGGACGGTTCCCGATGCGATCAAATAAACTACCCCGATAACCCAATTTCACTGTACGCTCGCGTTTCGAGCCGCGGCTCAAGGATCGGAGGGTGGGAAGTATTTAAGAAATATGTTAGAAATCAGTCGCAAAAAGTGGCTTTACGAGCGTATAAAGGTTCGCGAGAGCGACCACGCTTCCGGCAAATCGCGTCACGAAAGGTCGTCTCTGTTCGGCGTGTTTTTAATTTCTTCGGATCGGGATCGACGCCCGAATTTTCTCCTCGAGGTGCAGACGGAGAGAAGGGGGAAGAGAGAGAGAGAGAGAGAGAGAGATGGAGAGAAGGTGCGAGGTATCGGCCGGCCGCCGGTCGAAGGATCCGCGGCGGGCAGGCGATAAACGCTCGAAAATTAACGATCCTTTAAAACGGTCGTAAAATTCGGCCAGATAAGGATCCACCTTCCACTTGCTTCCTCCGGAGGGCCGTATCGGCCGGCACGCACGAAACGCACTCGCGAGCTCACAAATTACTCCCACGCGCGGTTAACAGTGTTTCGCGCGTGCAACCTGCGCTCTCGGCGAGCGGCCTGCCTACGCGCGCGGACCCTCTCTCGCGCAGCACGAGCCGGCGATC